GTCGCAGTGATCAGCATCCTCATCGACCTTTGACAGGTTCCACCGGCTTTTATCTCGTTGTTTCCGTATCCGGGAACAATAATCTTTCGCAAGTCATGGCGGAGGAAAAGGGCATGTCTGAATACAAAACAACTCTGGCCCATGAGACAGCTCATGAGGCCGCCAGCCGTGGCCACGTTGCAACGGACCAATATGGTCGAGCCTTGGTCGAATTCGACCCTGCGGCGGAATCTCGCCTTCGACTGAAGATTGATCTCTACATCGTTCCTACTATCTCAATTATTTATCTGTTTTGCTTCATTGACAGAGCAAATATCGGTATGTTACTGCTCCCCCTCTTATCGTACTCTGTCTGACTGACGATCCCGTCTCAGGTAACGCCAAGCTCGCCGGGCTTGAGAAAGACCTTGGCATGAAGGGTTACGACTACAATTTCCTCCTATCCATCTTCTACATCAGCTACATTGTCTTTGAAATTCCTTGCAATATTGCCTGCAAGTGGATTGGCCCAGGCTGGTTCCTCCCTGCCATCACGCTGGGCTTCGGCATCTGCTCGCTTGGCACGGCATTTGTCCACAACATCCACGCCGCGTCAGGAGTCAGATTCTTGCTTGGCGTGTTTGAAGCAGGTATGATGCCCGGGATCGCTTACTATCTGTCTCGGTGGTACCGTCGCAGTGAACTTGCCTTCCGCCTGTCGCTTTACATTGTCATGGCGCCGCTGGCCGGCGCGTTTGGTGGCCTGCTGGCTTCGGGCATTCTGTCTCTGGATCATTTCGGCGGCCTCCACACGTGGCGCATGATCTTCGCTATCGAGGGTATCATCACCATCGGTCTCGCGTTGATCTCATTCTTTACCCTTACCGACCGGCCTGAGACTGCTCGCTGGCTGACGCAGGAGGAGAAGGACCTGGCGATCGCTCGAGTCAAGTCGGAGCGTGTCGGAACCACGGAAGTGCTGGACAAGATTGATAAGGCTAAGACGCTCCGGGGTATCTTCAGCCCCGTGACCCTGGCCACCTCTTTCATCTTCCTCCTCAACAATATCACGGTCCAAGGCCTAGCCTTCTTCGCTCCCACGATTGTGAAGACCATCTACCCACACAACACCGTGGTGTCCCAGCAGCTGCACACTGTTCCTCCATATGTCGTCGGAGCGTTCTTCACCGTGTTGTTCCCTTTCCTCAGCTGGCGATTTGACCGACGACTGATCTTCTTCGTCATTGCGCCTCCTCTGATGATGACGGGATACATCATGTTCCTCGCCAGCACTGACGCTATGGTCCGCTACGGCGCGACGTTTTTGATTGCTAGCGGAGCGTTTGCTTTTGGTGCTCTGTGCAATGCGAATTCATCCAACAACGTGGTGTCCGATACTGCGCGATCATCGGCCATCGGAACCACGGTGATGATGGGTAACGTTGGTGGCTTGATCTCGACATGGTCCTTTTTGCCCTTTGATGCCCCTAATTATCACATTGGCAACGGTCTCAACCTGGCGACCTCCTCTATGACGATGATTCTGGGGGCATTGCTCTGGGGGTGGATGCGGTGGGATAACAAGAGGCGCGAGAAGGTAGACGTTGATCAGGCTCTGGCTGGCCTGTCGCTGTTGCAGATCCAGGATCTCGACTGGCGCAATCCTGCTTTCCGCTGGCGTGACTAATAGGTAGCTGTCTGTGCGTTATATCTTGCCTCGTGACATTTCTCCTCTCAACGGTGCCTCAAGCTGAATAATGACTTACTTGTTGTATTATGAGATAACAATGCGTTATATAAGAATTATCAATATGACTATTTATGCAAGATCTATTGTATCCCTTACTCAACCACAGTACTACTACCAAGTTTCCATGGGTTGCCATCCTGCCCCCCCCGGCACACCAATCAGTGTGGGTGATTTTGTCATTATTGCATCCCCGCAGTGAGACGTTGTGCAGTGGAGACGGTCAACCCCAGACCCCAGTTCGTCGCAGGCACCACCGCACAATCCTCTGGCTAATCTTCGGAGAACACCGACTCGAGTTACCGACAGCCCAATCAGGCTAGGAACCGGCCGAACCAATCTTTCTTGCGATGGTCGCTGGAATCACTGCTTCAAGTTCGATACGCTAGTCACGCCGGCATCGACGATCTTTGTCGCTTCGGACAAGGACCGAATAGGCCTCTCGCAGGCCATTTTGTATAGGTGAATAGTGAGTACGCACTGACCCGGTACAGCGGGGCTATTGCTGATAGGAGAGCATGATTTGAGTGCCGAGCGAACGTTTTCCTGGGTTGCCCAATGTGCTGCTGATGCTGACAATAGTTGGCCATGTACTTGTGCGACTGGCGAATCAAGCATGGCCATTAGAACCTCCGAGAAACGGAACTTCGAGTCAGGTCCGAGTCTAGAGTGAATCTAGAGTTAAAAGCGCCCCGATCCTATGAGGCATTTCCTAGCGCCAGGCTGTCGGTCGTGTTTCGGAACTTGACCGAGCCTTCATTATGCGGAGAATGAGGCCAACAGACGCGACCATGGACTTGTTCGTTGAGTTGTTTCTTGAAGTGACTGAGAAAGGAGAATGAACATGATGAATGTGTGAGTTATTGAGTACATCTCGTCTCTTGATTTGCACTCACAACATACAGGACAGTATAGACTTCATGTTGAGAGTGCTGCAACGTCGAATGGAACAAGGCTTTTGGCGCAGTCAAGAGCTCTCAAGCTCTGGCCTCCAGACTCTTGAGTAAACCTTAGGTGGGCCAGAGAGTAGGTGCAAACCACGCTTTCAGGGCATCCCATTTGGGCCCAGTCGGTCACCCTCCGTTTCTCAACCAATGAATCCAAACTGCCACTGACAGTGAGTCCCAGCCGCAAGGACAAATGCATCCATCTCCGGGATATCCTCGTGTCGGGTATGCGACCAAACTTGGTTGTCTGGTCCTGATCTCGGAGATTTCGACCCCACGCTTCTACTCCACGTTTTCTCCGCAGTGTTCATGCATGGGGTATAAAGCTGGGAAGTGATCGTCTGTTCACCCCTGTTTGTCCATCACACTCCTCAACTCTTTCTCCCCATCTCTCCTACTTGGTATTCTGAACACAAAGGACGAGACGATGGCAGGCGGTCCAAAGAAACCCGTCAACATCTTCCGGTTGAAAAACCTCGGCGAACCAAAGGAAGTTTTCAACTGGAAGCTATGGTTCGCGGTTATCTCATTCGGCCTCATGGGCGCTGCCCGGGGTGTGGATGAGGGTTTGATCTCGGGTGCTTTCAACTCGAAGGATTTCCAACGGACGATCCACTACAGCCAGTACAGTGCGGTCGAACGGACGAACATCAAGGCGAACGTGTCAGCGATGGTGCAGATCGGTTCTGTTGGTGGTGCTCTCTTGTAAGTTTCAGCCTTTGTCTTGGTTGACAGACTTTCTAACCCAAGCAGCGCGTTCCTGGTTTGTGACCGCATCGGTCGTATCTGGGCTACTCGTCAGCTGTGTCTTCTGTGGATTCTTGGTATTGGCATCTTCATGGGCGCAAAAGGAAGTCTTGGAGCCATCTATGCCGGTCGCTTCATTGCAGGATTGGGTGTTGGACAAACAGTCGTGGTTGGCCCGGTCTATCTCGCTGAGATTGTGAGTATACCTTCGCATACGGTCTGGATGCAAGCTGACGGTCATGGTTAGGCCCCTGCGTCCATCCGAGGTCTCTGCACCTGTGTGTTTACTGGTTTCGTGTATCTTGGTATCGTCCTGGCCTACTTTACCAATTACGGTTGCCAGGTTAACCTTGGAGACAACACGCACAAGCGATGGGTGAGTGAGCCGGCAACTGCCTAAGAATTCAATCGCAGCTGACAACCCCCGTAGGAAGTGCCAACCAGTCTGCACATCATCTTCGCCGGCGTGATCTTCCTCCTCTCCTTCCTGCAGTACGAGTCTCCTCGCTTCCTGATCAAAAAGGGCAAATACGAACAAGCGATCCGCAACCTGGCGCGCGTGCGAAACCTCCCTGAAGACCACGAGTACGTCGTGCAGGAGATCACCGCCATCGAGCAGTCCCACCAGGCCGAACTGGAGGCGACCATGGGCGCAGGCTGGCTCGGCGTCATCAAGGAGACCTTTCTGGACCCGAAGAACCTGTACCGCGTCTACCTGACCGTCATGGCGCAGATCCTCTCGCAGTGGTCAGGAGCCGGCTCCATCACCCTCTACGCCCCGGATCTCTTCAAGCTGCTCGGCATCACGGGCTCCAACGAGTCCCTCCTCGTCACCGGTGTCTTCGGTATCGTCAAGCTCGTCGCAGCCGTCGGGTGCGCCCTGTTCCTGGTCGACGTGATCGGCCGCAAACGCGCCCTGCTCATCGGTATCACCCTGCAGGCCATCTCCATGATCTACATCGCCGCCTTCCTCACCGACGTCCCGGAGATGGGCATCGTCGACGGCTTCGTCCTGCCGAAGGCGAAGCAGGGCGTCAGCCGCGGCGCCATCGCCATGATATACGTCTCCGGCTTCGGCTGGGCCCTGGGCTGGAACTCGATGCAGTACCTGCTCACTGCGGAGCTCTTCCCGCTGCGCATCCGTGCCCTGGCGACCTCCATCGCCATGACGCTGCACTTTGCCAACCAGTACGGCAACTCGCGCGCCGTCCCGAACATGCTGCTGTCCACTGCCCACGGCGGCATCACCCCCAAGGGCACATTCTGGTGTTTTGCGGCGGTGACCATCCTCGGTGGGCTGTGGGTGTGGTTCAGTGTGCCGGAGACGGCGGGCCGGTCGCTCGAGAGCATGGATCGCCTGTTCGAGCTGCCGTGGTACAAGATCGGTTTGTATGGAAACAAGGACGCCGAGGAGCGGGATCAGGTGGTGTCGGAGAAGATGCAGATGGCGGAGGAGATGCACGGGACTGCGGCGCACCAGGAGACGGTGGACAGGTCGAGGGTGTAGGCAGTCGCGGGCCAACATATCAGTATCACGTTGATGTGGAACGCATGTTAATGAATTTATCTTTGTATTTAATTCACGAATTTGACGCTGAAGCTGAACCTGAACCTGAACCTGAAGGATCTGTATCTACTGGAATAATCACAATCCGCGCCTTTCGCGACGCATCCTCCCTAGCAGCCTGCTCATCTCTCCTTGACGAGCCGTATCTCGACGCCGGAAGCACCTCCATCCCCTGCATCTCATCCAGCTCCTCCCACGGGAGATCAACCCGAACCACAATCCCCCGTGGCCGGAAAAAAGTCTCATTCCACCGCTCAACCTTCTTCAACAGCCTTGACCCCGAATCCGTATCCGCGGGCCGCTCCGAAGCAGCAATAATCAGATTCATCTCCTCGCGGTTCCGCCTCGCCTTGCGCGCTACCAGCACAGCGGGAATCGCACCAAGCACGCCGGCCATCATCCCGCCCAGCGCGAGGACGCTGACGCCCTTGGCGACTGTCGTGGCCCATTGTCGGGGGGACAGCTTCACCTCCTCGTTGAGGTCGTGGGTGAACTGGGTCCAGTGGTGAGGGGAGATGTCGTAGTCGGCTAGGAAGGGAGGGTACGCGAAGCCGGAGGTGAAGTAGTCGTGTTTCGAGGGGATTTGGATCCCGCGGTTTGGAGACAGGGTGGAACTTGTGTGTTCTGATGGTGGGGAGGAGGGTGGGAGTGGTTGTTTGGTGTCTTGTTCTGGTTCTGGTTCTTGCATTGTGGGTGATGCGTCTGAGGGTGTGTATGGGGGTGGAGGATCCGATATTGATGGATTGTAGTTTTCGCTCAGGAAATTCATGTTTGTTCACCCTGGTGATGCCAGAGATTTGTGTGCTTGATTCTGTTGGATAGGCATTTCCGTGTACGACTTGGACGGTTTATATCGCCATGACCAGGAGACTGGATGGATGACTCCAGGCATCAATAGCATCGTCATCATCGCTAGAATTAGTATGCGAGTATGACTCGACACGAGAATGTAACTCTAATCTCTTCGAGGTCGATGACTCGCTTGGAACTATTGCTCAGGCTGATGGTGATAGGCTGGGATATGCCTCAGGCTCCAATGTTTTGCGTAAATACGAGGTGTCAATCTCCAGGCTGACGAGGCTACAATTTACAAGTACTCCGGTTTGCTCAATTTTGCAGGTTTTCTATGACTCGAGATTCCCTGCTAGATCGTATAATCCCTGCTGGTCCGTCCAAGCCACTTTGGATTGCTCACAGCGAGGCTTATTCGCGATAAGATCGACTCTTGCGCTAATAAATGATGGCGCAGAATGAGTCACCATGATGCTGGGTCTAGACGGAAGATTTGATACCAATAGCACTCAAATAATCCAGACTAATCCAATCAAATCAATCATATCAGACTCTGCTATCCTCACCGGCCTGTCACCCTGTCTTGGCACGACTTCTCCAACTCACCGCGCGGGGAACCACCAACCATCCCGCACTCCTCATCCTCCTCTCCTCACCCCTGATCAACAACACCCATTCACAATGACCACCCGGTATCGCGTTGAATGTATGTCCTCTTTAAATACAATTCATTAACTGCTAATCCTAACCAATTGATAGATGCTCTCAAGGTATGCTGTCAGCCATTGAGGTTGTGCTTGGCTGACTCACTCCGATAGTCGCATCGGCGAGACCAGCTGGTAAGTTCTCCCTTCCTTTCAACGCGCAAACTAACATATGTCAGATTGAATGGATCAAAGTGAGTGCACCACTTTATAGACACCGGAGGAAGCTCATCTAGTAGGGTCTCCTGGCAGTCCCCTTTGTGCTGCACTCGCAGCCCACCGCTGTCTACCAGGAACACAGCGAGAACCTCGTGGCCGTTGCGGCCGACACCCATCAACGCTACGCGGAGATCTTCCGGGATGTCGAGAAGCTCATCGACGACCACAGTAAGCCTCGTCCCCCTGTCCCCAGTCGCATCTAACCCAGCCAGTCGACCATGAACGCGACGCCGCCCCCGGCAAGTCCAAACTGAAACTGCTCGTCCCGACCGCCGGCTCCTTCTTCAGCCGCCTCCCGCTCGAAGACGCCTTCAAATACCAAGACACAAAGCGCATGATCAGCCGCCGCCGCTTCGTCGCCCCCTCCTTCAACGACATCCGCCTCATCCTCAACACCGCCCAGCTCCTCGGCATCGTCCGCGGGCCCGGCCTCGACCTCGTCACCTTCGACGGAGACGTCACCCTCTACGATGACGGCGCCTGCCTCACCCCGGACAACCCCGCCATCCCGCGCATCATCCGCCTTCTGCACCAGGGCGTGCGCATCGGCATCGTCACCGCCGCCGGCTACACCGAGGGCGCAAAGTACTACGAACGCCTCAAGGGCCTGCTCGACGCCGTCCACGACTCCCCCTCCCTCACCCCCGCCCAGAAAGACGGCCTGATCGTCATGGGCGGCGAGAGCAACTTCCTCTTCCGCTTCGACTCCGCCTCCCCGCACCGCCTCACCTACGTGCCCCGCCCCGAGTGGCTCCTCGACGAAATGAAGTCCTGGAAGCAGGAGGATATCACCCAGCTGCTCGATATCGCCGAGTCCTCGCTGCGCGCGTGCGCATCCAACCTCAACCTCCCCGTCGCCGTCCTCCGCAAGGACCGCGCCGTCGGCGTCTATCCCTATGACCGGAGCAAGATCCACCGCGAGCAGCTCGAGGAGACCGTCCTCGTCGTGCAGAATACGGTTGAGCGGTCCGTCGTCGGCACGAGGTTGCCCTTTTGCGCGTTTAACGGTGCTTTCCCTCCTCCCTCCTCCCCCAAACTTCTTTTATGTACCATGTAGCTAATGGCTGATGACAGGCGGGAATGATGTCTTCGTCGACATCGGCGACAAGTCCTGGGGTGTACGCGCTTGTCAGCGGTATTTTGGGGGGATTGAGCGGTCGCGCACGCTCCATGTTGGCGATCAGTTTCTCTCGGCTGGTGCGAATGATTTCAAGGTGAGTTGCGTCTGCTGCATTTTTAGAGTCGAACGTGAAATTGACTGTGTGCCTAGGCTCGTTTGGCGTCTACGACGGCCTGGATCGCCAGTCCTTCGGAAACGGTGCAGTTGCTCGACGAACTGGAGGAATTGCAGAAGGCGGAGAAGAATCGTTCTTGATTAATCTTTTCAAGGACGGGTTATATTTCGGTTTACTGGATTATGGCGCATGATACCATCATTCATTGACTATGAAATCCTAGATTTAATATATTTGCCCAGACCACCTAGCCATCGTGTATTCTCAACTCCAGATGCAAAATCATAATCTACCCCAATGCCCAAAGTCCAGGCATCAGCTATGTTCCGAAATATCATTCAAGGGTCGCGGTCAGCTTCCCGTCTCATCAATCGTATCCCCGGTATTGCACGGTCGCTCTAAGGCGAAGTGGGCGCCGAAGGTTCAATGGCTGTAGACAGTCAGTATGTGATGCAAGTACAATCGTAGTCAAAGCTTACACTCATAGCATGACCACAGGGGCTTTCCCGCGGCAGCACGGCCAGAGAGGATGTTGACATAGTTCTGAAGCTCCAGCCAGAACTCCGTCTTGGGACGCCGGCGTGCCCAATCCGTCTCCGTCGCCTCCAGACCGTCCTTGCCGCCCATGGGGGAGAACAACACCTGCGAGCCCTTGACACCGATGACCGCCGCCGACATCTCGTCCGCCGCAATCTCGTCGCGTGACTTGCCCGCATAGTTTTCGAGATGCAGCATACACTTGATCGCCATCCGGAGGGCCCGGATACGGTCCATCGGCGATGGCTTGCCTCCTTGCTGGAAGTGGCCAGGGACCGCCGAGCGGGACTCGAATCGTCCCTTGGCCTCCTCCTTGAAGATGTCGGCGATGACCTGTGTGGTATAAGTGCTGGAGGCGCATTCGTTGCGCAAAATGAGCTTTCCGGCACGGTTGGCTCCCTTGTCCCGGGCAAAGTTCTCGCGCAGGAAATCAATGTCGTTGGAGAGCATCTTGATGTCAATGCCCTCCTCGGGAATGTACACGGCTGTAGCGCCGACGGCAAGACCAGCAGTGGTGGCGATGTAGCCCGACTTGCCGCCCTGTGTCTCGATCACGAAGACACGACGACGAGAGGACGAGGCCGACTGGCGGATGGCATCGCAGAAATCAATCAAAGTGTTGAGACAGGTGTCGCTTCCCAGCGAGTACTCGGTTCCAGGCACATTGTTGGAAATTGTAGCGGGCAAAACAACCATGGGGATCTTGAAAACGGGATACTTGTCGCGGGCCTGACGGAGCTGGCTGACTGCTGTGAAGGCTTCGAAACCACCCACCACGAAGAGTGCGTCAAACTTGTATTTCTCGAAGCACATTGCCGTGGTCTCGAAATCCTCGGATGGCAGGCTACGGTTTGTTCCAATATCCGATCCACCCTCGTTGACCCAGGCATCGGACTCCAGCCACTTGACTTCGCGAACAGAGCTGACGGGCTTGTCATCGTGGTGACGGCAAAGGCCGGGGAAACCGTTGTGAATCGCGAGGGGGGTATGTCCACGAGTGAGGCAGTAACCGACAGCGGCGCGGGTGGCTTGGTTCATACCTCCGGCCGGGGCACCGACGTGGATGATGGCGATTCTCATTCTCTAAATTGAGTTAGCCAACTCGGCTGATTGAGAGACAGTAACGCACCTTGTCTTCAGGGAGGATCATCTTGGGATGATCTGGTGTGGCAGTGTTGCGATAGGCAAAGTGGTATTCTTTGAACTCGGCATCCCGCATTCTCATCGCTGCCTCAAAGTCCTTGTCATGGATGAGCTTCGCTACATGCTTGGTTTCTTGCACTGCGTCCATCAGTGGTGTCCGCATGATCTTGTTCTCGCGAATGGTAATGACTGGCGATGGCGAGTCCGGCTTCATATCCAGAACAGCCCTGACGGCTTCGACACCCTGCAAGGTGGACAGCCAGCGGTCATACGCGCATGCTGCTCCTCCTCTCTGAGTGTGTCCCAAAACGGTAACCCTGGTATCCAGCCCGAGTCGCTGAGTGAGGATGTCTTTGATCGTAGAGCTCGAGATCTTGTTGAGATGGCGGTCCTGGGCACCTTCGGCCACGATAACGATAGTACGACGCTTGCCACGTTCTTTGCGGTTCTACAGAGAACATTCTGTCAACTCAATGGCGGGTAACAAGATATATCGCGACCCACCTTGGTGATGATAGAGCACATGTCATCCTCCCACCCGTCACGGGGAGGCATCTCCGGAATGAACAACCAGTCCGCACCCGTGCTGATCGCGGACATCAAAGCCAACCAACCGCAGTGTCGCCCCATAACCTCAATAACGAAACCTCGCTGGTGGGAAAACGCGGTATCGAAAACGTCGTCGACGGCATCACAAATTCTTGTAAGAGAGGAATAGCAGCCGATCGTGGCGTCAGTGCCGGACATGTCGTTGTCAATAGAACCAACCAAACCAACAATGTTCAACACCTTGTAGGGCTTGATTTGTTCTTCAGTCAATTCACCATTCTTGACCAGCTCCTCCAGCAAACCGGGCCATTCCGAACGGAAGACGTCGGCACCGGTCAAACTTCCGTCACCACCACAGACAACGAGAGCATCGATACCGCGGAGCACCATGTTCTTAGCAGCCTTGAGACGTCCAGCGCGTTCGCGGAAAGCCATGCTCCGAGCAGATCCGATCAGTGTACCGCCCTTGGAGAGCCAGCCACGCACATCTTCCCAGTGCAGCTGACGAATCATATGACCACCATGAACCAAACCCTCATAACCTTCGAACACGGCATACGCTTCGCAGTCGGAGTAAATGGCCATACGGATGACGGCCCGCACGGCTCCGTTCATACCGGGGGCATCACCACCCGAGGTGAGGACACCAATGCGGCGTCTCTTGGGCGGCTCGACGGGCGCTTGTGTTGAGCTCATCCTTGTTGACGACCGTAGACTGATCCACAAAGGAGTGTTGCAGGGATCAATCGCTAGACCGGAAAGTGAAGCACCAGGGGAGACAGCTGTCGTTGAGATTGAAACTGTAGATAAGTTGTTGTGACGGTGGGGTGAGAGATTTCCGGTGAGTGAAAGCGGGAGTGGGAAAGGGTACGTCACAGACACGACGGGTCAATGAATTCACTAGTTAGCTGACAATGAGCTCCAAGAGCTTGAGATGAGAAAACTGTCTAACAATCTCCGATGAAGGAAGGCAATGGTAGAAACTTATGGACGATCAACAGCCAACAACCCCTCCTTTGAGAATCCTGCAGTAGAAGATTTTCCCCCCTGCGTCACCAAAAAACTCCAGCACCCATTGTCGACGTCACCCGCCCTCTTTCGTCCTAGCGTCATCGAAGTCACGTGGAAGTAATTAGGGCAGGGCTGGACTTTCACGTGGTTGGTCAGTGACGCCATGGCAACCAATGCAACTGACAGCAGTAGATGATTCGATGCACGTCATTTCAGGCACGGCTCTTTGCAATGCAGTCATATCGACCTTAATTACCGTCTTAATTGAGTTGATAGAGTTAACTTTGATAAGAAGGACACAATACAGTTAATGGCAACATTCTCAATCTCGTAAAGACGCCTAGTCCACCACTGAAAAGTATACAAATGCGTCTTCCAATGTCAGTTTTCTGGGGCTCAATGTGGAATATATAGCGGCGATGAACCTCTCTAATTTGTTGAGACCCTCAGGACTATACACAACGCATTTTGACTAGATACTTTTGCTTGACTAATTAACATTATAAGCAGTATTTAAGCTTTATCGATTATCACCTACTATTAGCATATAAATCATGATTGATTGCTTACTGCGCAGTGAATTGTTGATTCGGTAATGTCTGAGCTCTGGCTGTCACGTGTCTCGGCGTCACTATCTCCGTCTTTCATTTCTAGCCTCAAGAGATCCCTCAGCGCCGCTCACAATTCGTTGACGTAGGGCGCGTCTGTAACCGTCACTATGGCTGATAAATTTACCCTTCCATTGCGCCCCCTGGTCGAAAAGCGCGACCATCCGGATCCGTTGCCTCTTGAGATTGCCCAGATTAATGCTCAGTGGGGATCGTTCCGCGATGTGAGTGAGGAGAGCCTGCGCGCAAAGATCGAGGAGGAGAAAAGCAAGGAATACACAATTGAGGAGGAGGAGGGTGAGGGTGCCGAGCTGGACACGACAGAGCGCTTGGATCAATTATACAAACGACGAGCAGAGATAATTCAGTTTGCGATGTAAGGCAACCATTACAGTGATATGGCTGGTCGGTCCGTACTGAGATCTTACAGGCAGGCACATATGGAAGCGATGTTTGCTCTCGACTTTATTTCACTGCTCCTCTCCAAACACACCCCGCGTCAGGCCGAAACTTCCATGTCCGCTTATCTGAAGCAAGTTGCACCACTCGGTTCACTCAATGCGGAAATCATCAGCCCTCCGCCAAAGTCCGAAACTGTGGTTAGAGACACAAAGACCGTCTCGCGTGGATGGAGACTGCAGAGCTTCAATGCTGCTGCTGATAAGTTGTTGAAGTCCGCTTCAAGACTGGAAAATGAAGTCGCTTCCGAGACGCGATATTGGCATGAAGTGTTGGCAGTCAAGGACAAGGGCTGGAAATTGTGCAGGCTGCCCCGTCAGGGACAAACCCTGGGTGTGCAATATGGGTTCCTTGAAGGTGAGCTAGCAAATCAACTAACGCTGAAATGGGCGCTGACTTCTATCTTTACAGCCACCCCGATATTCCGCGACCGAGGCCTCGCAGCTCTACGAAGATCTGAAGATGGCGCACTCATACTAGACAAAGGATTGGTACCGACAAAGGCAAAGACAGTGCGTGTACGTGTGAAGGACCGTGGCATCATCACGGGCTGTTCCAAGCCATACCGGTCGGCCGCCCAGGACCCAGATTCAATCGAAGGCCGTATCCTTCAGGCGCGAGATACACTGTATGAGGAGGAGCTTTTCCACGAACTGTTCCGAGAGGCGAGGATAATGGGTAGCCAAGGTGTGACGACACGCCAGAACTTGGTTCAATTCCCTGTGTCCAAAGAGCAAGACATTCTCCTGGACCTTGTGGACCCCGACCAAGATACATATGTCGATGGCGAGGAGACGAAATCAGAAGGACACAACGTGCTTGCCGACGCACTTGCGCACTCCATCCGCATTCTACTGTGCTATGCTCATCGTCAAAACCTACGTCGAAGAACACAACCGCCTCCTCCATTGTCTCCGAAGCGACGTCATATTCCCGAATACCAGCTGCTGCGACCGATAATGGCATACTTGCAGCACAGCTTCCATGTCCGGTGGCTAGAGACCTTTATGAAGGATGTGTATGGAGTACTTCAATCAGCAGGCCTCAGTTGTAGCTTCACTGCGACCCCCTATTCATCGGTGAACCTTTTCAACATTGATCGCTCGGTCCCGAAGGTGGAGGGTCTGATCAGACAGTTTCTTATGCCACTTGAGTCCACATTCTCGGCGGATCTGCTCACACCGCAGAGCTCTTTCAAAGTGAAGACACGCACCAACCTGTCGGTACCACCTTTTGGGACTCATTTTGAGATCTCACTCAACCTGCCTCACTACCCAGACGTCCATCCTCCGAACCGCATTGGGCTGCACGACCAGGCCGCAACGATCATTACGCATTTCATAATGCTAGATATTGTCGCGGCGATTGAATCGCAGACCTCACCAGCTTCGAGCATTGCAAAGACTGAAGCCAAGTCTGTCTCTTGGGAGGCGACGTATCCTCACCATGGGGAGTTGCTGGCCGTTTCCAATGGAAAACAGAAGAAGACGAAGGTCATTCTGTCGCGGGATGAGCTGGTTGTTCAAACCTACGATGTGCAGGGCGCTGAGCGTTACAGCCGTGCCACACCAGAAACGACACCCGCGTTGCAGACGCACACATGGAAGGCAGGCCCTACAACGGCCCCAAGCCTCATGGAGTACGTTGCGACTGTTTCACAACGGTAGCGAGGAAATAGCCTGCAGGCGCCACTTCCAGCCGACCTGTCATGGATCCTTGTTTGTGAGATGTAAATATTATAATAGTTCCTTGCTGCTCAATGCAATGTCGGCTTCTCCAGCCTCGGCAACAAGTCACTCACGTCCTCCCCTAGCATTATCCCCGCCAGAGCCTCCCTTGATAGCAAGCAGTTAGCCATGCCGTATCTATTGAAGGCAGCGGGGAGATAGTCCCCATCGCTGCACCTTTCCGTCAGCAAAGGCGGCAACTACCCCACCACGGGCAGCCCCTCCAGCATCAGCTTGCTTCGACGCTTCTTCAATGTATGCTAAGCCTACACAACCAGCCGCATCTTCAATTTATCCTCCCGGACAATCTCTTCCCTCTTCTGCAGCAACTCCTCCATATCCCACGTAACACTCACATATCTCCCACCCAACCACTCCCGCCTCTCCTGCGTCAACCAACTCATCGCATCCCCCGCAAGCTCCGCCGTATCCGTCAAAAACCCATGCACTGCCTTGATCCCCAACGCCAGCTCCGTTGGTACCCCACCAGGGTGAATCGCATACGCCAACATCCCCTCACCCGCATACTCGGCCATCACGAACTCCGTCAACCGCAGCACAGCAAACTTCCCCGTCCGATACGCTGACGCCCCCGGCCGCACCCGCAACGCCCCGATCGAGCTCACATTCACAATCGTCTTCTGCGTCCCCTTCCGCAGCAGCGGGATGAACGCCCGCATGACCAGGTACACACCCTTGACATTCACCTCCCAGCATCTCCACCAGTCCGCCGGGTCGCTTTCCGCGATGGGAACCCACGCCTCCGAGGTCCCCGCATTGTTAATCAGGATATCGAGGTGTCCGAATTCAGCAGCGACTTCCTCCGCGGCCGCTGCAACGCTGGCCTCGTCCGAGACGTCGAGGGTCAGTTTGAGGATTGTTGGTTGCGGGTGGCCGGCTTCTTTGGCGGTCGATAGGAGGGCGGCCTCCACGGCATCGAGCGGCCCTCGGGAGGCGATGGCGATGGATGGGGCGCCGGCCCGCGCGAAGGAGTGCGCGGTGGCGAGGCCGATGCCGCGGGAGGCGCCGGTGATGAGCACTTTGTGGTTGTGGTGGGTGGACTGGGCGATGAAGGGGTAGGTATCGTGGTGGTGGGTACTGATGAAGTCCATGTTGTAGGCTGTGTCTGACTTGCGCCGCGAAGCGAATATGAGAGTTACTGATGGAATCGTGTGATGATATGGGACCTCAGGTACAGGAGTAGAGCAGGCTTGTACGAAACATGTTAACGGCTGATTACCACTAATTCCGATAAATCCGGTAGTGCTGACAAGTTGGTCGTCGACTAAGTGGGTCAGAGCCAGGACATCGAAGTCTTATCTTCGATGCTCTTGCTATTCACCTGGCTAGGATGGCAAAAATAGTAAACTTCAAAGAAAGCGACTCCGTCGCGCAATCACCAAAGACAAAGCGATCAACGCGAAAATAACACCCAAAATCCCAAACCACCAACCCAGCCCCTCGCTATGCTTGCCTGGTACCATGACATTCATCCCGAACAGACCGGTAATGATCTGCATAGGCACGATACAGGACGCAATCACTGTCAGCCGGCTGAGCGTAGCCACGATCTGATTGCGCATCCGGGTCGAATCAAACGACAGCTGACTCAGGTACTTATCCTGCGACCGGGACAGCCTCTGCTCCGAGTGTGCCAGGTTGGAGACCATGGTCAACACGTGGTCCTGGATATCGCTGAGATAGGAGACCACTTCGCTCGTGGAACCCAGCGCGTCGCAATGTCGGGCAAAACACCGGATGACGTCGGTTTTGTCGTTGAGGAGTTGCCGGATCTGGAGGACTTGTCTGCGCGATGTGTAGATCTGCTTCAGTGCAAGTCCGATGTCATCTGGCCGGGTGATGGAGACACTGTCTTCCATCGTCTCCACGCTGGCTTCTACTCTGTTGATGAGTGGAGCGAAGCCGTCGACGATATCGTCGCTGCATCCGTCAGTCAGGATTATTCCATATCCATATAGCAGGGGAGGTTGCCATACATCAAAGCGTAAGATATCCAGTCACTTGTCAAAAAGAGATGGCTTTGATGGTCCTTGATCCGACTGCGGACATGACTGGTATGAGGACTGCTGCCGAAGGTGAAGCTGAGAACCCCCTCTCGAAATACAATGGCATAGACGTTGCATCCTGACGTCCACGAGCCAGGCGCGTCTTCCGCCTGCTGGGGCGGCCGCAGTGAGAGGAAATAATACGAGCCAAAGATTTCGATCTTTTCCCGGGTCTCGCGGATCTTGATATCCTCCGTTGTCAACGGATGGATGTCAAACAGTCGCGAGAGAAGCTCAATGTCTCCATCTGAGGGATCCGTGACGTCAAGCCACCAAATGCCATCATGCTCTCCACTGTCAAGTAGCGCGTGGAGAGGGCCATAGATCAAGGCCAAAGAGTTGATGCTGGATGCATGAATCACCGAGTCCAGCTTGGTGGTGAAGAAGCTGAACTGTGCTGTTTCGGTATCGGAATAATCTTCCAGGAAATCACGCCTGTACAACTTCTCTGCATCTTGAGGAGGCTGACCCTCAAATACCTTCTCCGTCTCGACTGACAGTCCTCGGCTCCCTGTGCGCGTCCTCCGGCCCAGGAGCCGTCTAAGGCCGGAGAAGAGCTCCATCGTTCAAATATAGAGGAAGAGCGGACAGCATTGGACGTCGCATTGAACTTTGTAAGCAGGGTAGCCCCAGAGCCATACTGTTGTTTAATTGAAGCAGTTCGGATGGAATCAAGGACTGTTCAAAATTTTTATCTGGGAGGTGGCAGTGCTCTGCTCTGCCAAGATCTTGGCCCCTGGGTGGCATGTCGTAATGATCGGCGGGTCAATCATGGTCTCGGCAAGGTCTGGGCTTATTTAAAAGACTTGGATGTTGCATCTGGCAATACCACTGCGGAGTGTAAAGTGATTAATATTCTAACAATCTACGAAAATTGAACACCGTGTTTCTGATGTTGTTCTGCAATCCCCGCAGACACCTTAAACTTCAGGCATCCATGTGGCGAAGTCACGCGACACGGCTTGGCAAAGGACAAACTTTGTCGAATCAAAACAGCTCCTTTTGCTATCGGCAATGAGGCCGATCAACTTAGGTTTGTTGTCGAGTCCGAGCATCAAGAGGGGTAAGGTATCTCGTCTCAGTGGGAGATGACCATCCTCTCCTCCTCATCATGCATCCCATCCAGCATGATGCGGCTCGTTCCTGCGTTTCACGACGCGGAAAGCAAACTCCGGTTCAAGATTGATTTCTTCATCCTCACTTTCTGCTGTGTTACGTATTTCTTCAACTATCTCGATCGCTCAAACCTCAGTAATGCATACGTATCAGGCATGAAGGAAGAGCTTGCCTTCCATGGCAACCAGCTCAATGTCATCAACACTATCTTCACCGTGGGCTACATCCTCGGCCAGGTCCCCAGCAACCTGGCTCTGACGTACTTTCGCCCGCGCATCTTCTTCCCTGCCATGATCCTCCTGTGGGGCGGGCTGACAATGATTACAGCCGCGGTGCACAGTCCACAGGGGATTATGGCCATCCGCTTTTTTCTCGGTCTAGCCGAGTCAAGCACGTTTGTAGGGACGCACTATATCCTTGGATCCTGGTACACCGAGGAGGAGCTGGGTAAACGTAGCGGCATCTTCACGGCCTCTGGTCTGGCTGGGACAATGTTTGGCGGTTTCATCCAGACGGGTATTCATTCGTCGCTGGATGGGGCCAGAGGACTTTCAGGATGGCGGTGGTTATTCATCGTTAGTTTTTCCCTCTTCCAAATTGCTGCACTGCTAATTGTGATAGATTGATGGGCTGATCACCCTCCCCATTGCCATCTATGGCCTTCTTTTCTTCCCTGACACACCATCCACCACTCGCGCTCCATATCTGACGGAGTCGGAACGTGCCTTGGCCATCTCCAGATTGCCTGTGACCAATGCCGAGCGTGCCCCCTTGAATCGGGCTTTTATCAAACGCTTGTTCACCACGTGGTACTGGTGGGCGTTTGTCATTCTCTGGGTGATCGCCGGCGAGACTGAGTCCTTCTCGTCTAACTCACTTCTGGCCCTGTACATGAAATCTCATCCTACGATCAAGTACTCTGTCGCGCAGCTGAACAACTATCCAACAGGCGTTCCGGCCGTCGGGATCGTCTCCACCCTTTTCTGGGCTACATTGACAGACATCCTGCACGGTAAGCGCTACTTGGTTGCCTATTTCATTGGCATTACCGGGGTCGTGACCTCCGTCCTCATCCTGACGAGGTTCGGCTCAACCCCGACCGTGTTCGGGGCGTATTACTGGGCCGGTGCCGTGTATGCATGCCAGGCTACATTTTTTGCATGGTGCAACGATGCGATGCGATCGCAGGATGCGCGGCATCGGTCGGTGGTTCTTGCGAGTATGAATATGGGGAATAATGCGGTCAATGCGTGGTGGAGTATCATATTCTACTCGGCGAACCTGGCGCCACGGTTCACGCGGGGAATGTGGGCGATGATCGGGTGTTCGATCGCATTGGTGATATGGGCGTCGTGGATTGTGTTTATGATGGTTAGGGAGGAGTCTCGGCAGGTTGATAGAGAGGTTAGGGATTGTTCTACCGAACAGCCCAAGGCTGAAATATGATGTCGAGATTGATGTACGTCACGAGAGTCATGCATGATTATGATATCTAAATCATGCTTGGTAATTAGTTTCATATTGCCCCGACTCAATAGGACTTTTAACTGCTATCTCCGTAAATTCCGTGCACCATGGAGTAGTGGAATGTTCGAACATTAATAATCCTTCTTGCTGATCATCTATAATTCATCCACTTCAGTACAGACTCCAACAGCATCCATTGATCATCAAAATCTATCATCTACTCCTAGCAAATGTCAACATACCTTATAACCGGCACCTCCCGCGGCCTGGGCCTGGCCCTGGTGCGCCACCTCGCCAACCTCCCCAGTTCCTCCGTAGGAACCATCTTCGCAACATCCCGCTCAGAACACCCAAGCCTCGACGAACTTAGCCAACAATCCGACCGGATCCAGTGGGTCAAATGCGATGTTACCGACGCAGCAAGCGTGCAGGATGCAGTCAGAGCAGTTCAAGGTAAACTGCAGGGAAAAGGACTGGATGTACTCATCAATAATGCGGGCGTGATGACCAATACCAAGGGTGGAGTCGCGGATATGCATGTCGTGCAGCTTTACTGAGACTATTGAGTCAGCTTTGACTGAATGGCAGGGATGACATGACTGAAACGTTCCATACAAACGTCACTGGCACCCATAATGTCACCCGGGCGTTTCTCCCTCTACTCCGCGAAGGACGGGGGAAACTCGTTGTTAATATGTGCGTCTACATTCTACTCTTGCGCCTAATCATGTCTAACATTCGATAGATCGACAACCCTCGGCTCAATGACGCTCGCACCAGTTTACAGAGGCTCGCCCACACCAGCTTACAAAATCACCAAGGCAGCATTGAACATGTTGACGGTGCAGTACGCGCAGGATTACGCAAGTGAAGGATTCGCCTTTCTCGCTGTGAGTCCTGGTGTAAGTGTCTTCGTCTTTATTTACCGTCCTTTTGTCCTTCGTCAAGGGAGATGCTGATCCCCACGGAATACAGTGGCTCCAAACAGATTTGGGCGGGTCGAGAGCCGATCTCCCCCCTGCGACCGGCGCAAAGGCAGTCCTCGATATCGTACAGAAGGCAACTCCGTCTCAGAATGGAAAGGCTCTGAATATCCATGTGCCGGGATGGGAGGAGAATGAGGGATTGAATCGGTATGATGGCAAGGAGGTGCCGTGGTAACGAAATGACAAGACGCGATGTGTGGTAGGTTTAGTGATAGGTACGCTTTATTATCAAGCCACGTTCCTGAAGGATTCTGTTACAGGGATGGAGCCTGTAGGTTTTCCATGCAGATGCGGAAGGGAGGAATGTTCAACATATTTCCTAAGCCAGATACAAATCCACCAGCAGTAATAGAGTTGTTGAAGGTTTGTGACTTTCAATGAGGATTTAATACATGAAAGATGTCCTCTCAAGACTCTATTTTAACACTCTTGCACCGGAGAAGGTCAGCTGCAGTTGGGGACGCCGGCAACTTCACCTGTCATATTCTCTTACCCCGTGTCTCATATCCGCACGTTGCTTTTTTGCTTCACCCAGCATGCCCTGTCAGGGCGAAAAGACTCTTGGAGCTTTCCTGCTTTACTCAACAATTTCTAAGTGCAGGATCCCTGCTTTTGGCTGCCCTCACTATTGCTGTCCGTGATAATACAGTTTTCTATCTACTCCACGACATGTAGCTCATGCCATGGACTAGAATTTCATTAAAGAGTTAGACACCTTGATTCTGTATAGCTCGAGTATTGTCTCAGAGTTACAGACTTGAATAAGAAATCACCCTGCAGCTGTCACACTATCTGCTATCCTTCGTATGACCATCTCTTATCGAAGGACTCTGGGTTCGTCAGTTCTTCCTTTCCCAGCAGCCTCATCACGTATCGCAACTTACCTGTCTTCAGCAGGATGTCAAAAGTCCATACGAGGCCCACCAGAATGTGTCAATCGGAGTTGGGCAGGTGGGTACTGATCAATGACAGATGTGATACATCAATTGCCCTTTGGCTTGAATTATGAAGCAAGCATTCGAACTGGGGGCAATTTTAGGGAAGTCCATGAACAACTGTAAGTGGTTTTGGTATAAAAGCAGCTATTTTCTGCACAGAGTCAAGGTTCATTTCGTCCTTTTCGCCTTCTTCATCATCACTCCTTTCCTTTCATTCATTCGCTCTTTTCCACATTGTCACTCATTATCACATTCCCTCGTTCATTAATTTCCTTTCACCATGAACAAAAGAAAGGCTGACCTCATGTCTGACGCTGTGGACTTACACGAGATCTCTGTTCTCCACGAGCTTCATGGGGAAGGCGACGAGGAGAGCCAATTCCCCGAGACCCAAGAACCACGCAAAAAGAAGAAAAAGAACAAGAAGAAGAAGAGATCCTCTGAGGCCACGCAGACTGGCGAGGACAGTCAACTTGGTCTTGCACAGATCATGGAGCTCCAACAGCCGAACCAGAGCAACTCTCTGACCGATGAGGAGTTTTCGCCGGACATTTTCCATCGCCTCACGACCATCACTCCCCTCAATGGTCCTCATGCAAATCCCAACCGGCCAATCCCTCCCGCTCCAATACCCTTCAAACACAACGACTACCTGTGCAACCTGTCGATCTCGGAAGCAGATGTCATTGCAATGCAACTCTTCCAGGGAACGTACCGGCTCGAGATCAGCGAACTCCCCCACCAGGAATGTCGGATGACGCTCATCTGGGACTACGACCGTCTATGGGGCTGCTTCGACATTGGCGTGTGGAAGGGCTTGATGCTCATCGATCCCGGGCCGCGGGATAATACCACGACGTCATACTCCTTTGCGTGGCGCGGTGTCTGCGAGAACGAGCCCGAGGTCGCGTACGACAACGAGGGTACCACAATTGGAGAAATCACCCTGGGTAGGAAGGGTCCTGTGTCCGGTTGCTTTAGGGGAATGGCCGTCGCGGACTTCCCCGACGACAAGTGCGACTTCAAGGCCGTGCGGGAGTTAGGACCGCCCATGGTTCCATGGCCTGTTGAGACCTTCGTCGCGGACTGGAATTATCTCCAGTATGATAGAGCGAAGGAGCCTGAGTCGCAGCGCCTGGTTCTGCTTCCGCTTTCTCCTGAGCCGGAGTCGCAGGTCGTGAATGATGGGACCATCCAGATGGACTGCGATCCGGATGTGGAGGAGGAGGATCAAGACCAGGACGAGGTCACTACGGAAGTGCATCCTTCCTCTCCTGTCCGTCAACCAGCTGAGACACCGCACACTTCCCCGCCGCCGGAGGAACCCACTCAGCAGTCCCAACCGCCTCCCAGCATCATCAGTCGACTCCACGCAACCTCCTTCACCATGCAGCGCTCCTGGGCCCGCCACGACCAGGACAAGTTCCTCGAAGTCGTCTGCGGCAGTTACGAGATCTCCAGCACAACCATGAAACACAACTGGTCGCGCAAAGCCAACAAACTCAGGATGCGTCTTCTCGTCGATCGCAGCGAAAGCTGCGTCTGGGGCATGTTCGCCATGGGCGTCTACCGCGGCATCATGCTCTTCCAGGAGTCGCCCATTCGCTTCCAAAAGGACAAGCGGCTGAAGTTCTGCTGGCGGGGTAGGGAGACGGATGGTCGCGACTGCGCGGAGAAGCTGGGGTACCTTTCTTTCGCGGAGGATATGAGTATTCAGGGCTGTTTCTATGATATGTATGGCGATGTGCCGTTTGCCGGAAGACGGAGGACACGTCCGGCTGTTGAATCGCGGTTCGATGAGGCGTTCTTCAAGCAGCAGTGGTGGGAGCATGAGCCGGTTCCGCCAACTCTGCTTCGACGGATTCAGGCTCAGACTCAGGCTGAGAGTCAGACTGAGATTCAGACTCCTGCGACCCAGTGAGGATGTGTTGTATTGGCTAACGGGTTTAGCTATCTCCTTTACCCTGTATAGATTTTGATATGATTAGATAGATAAATTGGATAGTATCGTGTCAGTGTCACCTTGCGGACACCATTCAGCTGGTGAGAAGTCTGAAACATCTGGCACACGCCAGATATTCTTGAGAGACTTGTGCGCCCACATATTAAGGTCTGGAATTACCTGTATGCAAGATTGATTCCAAGACCCTGGATGATCATTTCATCTTATTGGACCCTCTGAAAATTTTAGATCATGTTGAGGAATAACCCATCTGAGCTAGCATATGGTAGCATGCATGGATTAAAAGGAGCCTGTAAGTTTCTTCTTGATAAGTGCAACGCTACCCAGGCCGCGCCTAGACACAAAGAACCATAATATCACTTTCAAATTATTCACTTGTACGGATTGCTAGACCTTAATAATGAAAAAGACTTCAATGACAGCGATGTGATATTAAGTATTGAGATTGTTATGGTGCTGGTATTATTAGTCTTCAGTCTACATAGGCCATAGAGCTTGAGACAGAAATAGATGGGATTTGTTGTCTGTGAGCTATACAAACATATTAGGCAGAAGATAATAAACATTAGTGTCCACAAGATAGTGTGTATGGGTAGACATAAAGCCCATAGTTAAAGTGCTGAGGTCTAGATACTTAGGTCTTTATCTCCATAACACCAGCCTGCTGTCCTAGCTAGATTATAAGGCGTGGACTATGAGCCAGCATGGCTTGCTGAGAGCCAACTGGTGACTAAATGTAGCCATTAGGGCTAGGTATCTAGAGCTTGTGAGCCTGCAAGGATGAAGGAGCAAATCTCTACACATGACGGAGATCCTAGACGGTCGTAGCTTTTCCTTGCCGTTGTCGTTTCGGGAATGTATAGCAGCTCATTTCCTATGACTAGTGGAGAACAGCAGAGACGGATGAGGGACACAAATTGGAAAGATATAGCATTGTCAGAGGCGCAGCTGAGCTAAGTACTAAGCAGTATGAGCATAGTACCATTCTCTGATAAAGAGTGAATCCATTTGGTCGTTTGTGTATCCTATGATGCCTTTGATCCCAAGACTGTGATTCTAGGTATGTTTAGATTACAGGAGAACCATCTTGGGAATTTCCCAGATCTAGGGACTACATTCCCATGTTCCCGGGTCTGGCTGAGTTTTGGGAACAAAAGGTCCTAGAACAAAATACTCCTGGAAAAATGGGCCAGGATCTCTTTTATACTGGGATTATGTAAACCCCAGGAATATGATCCAAGGCTCGCCAGATTCAATCAATCAATCAATCAATCAAGATTCTATTAACCTGATGTAGCCTATCTATTGAAGTGATTAGCTATGCAGGCACTTCGCCAAATGAAGTAGGAATCTAGTATCCAAACACCTATCTATAAAACCCATAAATACAGACAAAGACATAAGAAATATTAAAAAGAATGTAGAAATCATAACTAAAGCAGCCTGCCACTCTACTATATGTCTCCCCTGCGCCATCTTACATATTAAACACCTATCCCACTCCATTCTATGTAGTCAGTCCTTATCATGCATTCCCATACCTAGGAAGACCCCTCCTAGGCAGCTATTCAGTCTATCTAACCATTATCTTCTATATCTATTCCAGAGCCTCATAGGAGGCTTCCATGTTCCTAGTCCTGCTCTAACAGCTCCCCCAGTTCTACATAGCGGAACTGGCTTAGTAGGCCTATTTAGTACATGAATTTGGTGATGTAGCAGATTACCTGCAGATTAGAGATAAGTATATTATAGTCTGATATATTCCCCCTAAATCCCTTATTAAAAAGCTTATTAATTATCTTCCTGCACGCCTCTGCATATAACAAACACTGCAGGAGGATATATTTTAGGGTCTATGACCCTTCTTTATAGTTATAGTAGTCTAAGTTATAGGCATTAATCTTAAAAAGGAAGTATTATAGACTAATCCACATAGTCTATATCTAGATAATGATTAATATATGCAGCTTTAGTAGGCCCTTATAGAGCCCTAGATTCTTCTTATAGGGGGCTTTAATTAGCTACTATATTAGCTTAGCCCCTTTCTCTATCTCCTACTGTTTCTTCCAGTGCTGTTGGATTTGCTGGTAGATAGCTTACTTAGCCACTATAGTAAGCTAGATAATTAGTTATTCTAGCTGCCCTATAGAGCTTAATTTAACTTCCCCTTATATAGCTGCCTTCTTTACTACCTTATCTATAGCCTCATTCCCTACTACTCCTACATGGGCAGGGATCTAGTATATCTTTATCTTATCTAGAGGTAGCCTATGT